TGGGAGCTGTAAACCATCAACAACATCTCCAGAGACAGCACAGGGTATCAGGAGATAACGGATCTCTCTTCTGTAGAAACACAATGACTTTAAAGGTTACTGTACAGGGTGAAATCACAGCATCTCTTTAACCATTACAAATCATCCCACTACTCTTGAACTATATACAGTATACAGTGTCATCTTCATCCCATTGCTTATTTCAGATAGTTTCAGATGGTTTGGGGGGTTTCTGTTGTATGCAACAGAAATGGGCTTTGGTCCTGTTTCTGCATTTACTGAGACACATGAAGTGTTTCCATCCAGTTATGTAAAGGGCAAATTGGATTCCAAAAAAATTAATGGCTGTTATTTGGTGTATTTAGTAGTAAGTGAACTATCATCTCGTGTAATAAATACCTCATTAATAGCTCGCAAGTCCTTTTACATGTAAATTAGGAATGAAGTATAATGCAATTATTCAACTCTGCTCTAAAATATTTACATTCCTTAATTGAAATACAACTACAAGGGTGGTTTGCAACAAGCTATTGTAAATGCTACTTAATCCTTTAGACATGCAGATTTCCTGATAAGGTGATTCCACAAAGGGTGATTGATCTTGGTGAAAGAAATTCTGCCCCTGTTGCCCAAGTGACTTTAAGGAACTATAAAATTAGGATATTTATTTTTTTTAGTGTAAATTTTACTGAAGTTCTGTGTTTTCATTCTCCTGCACTGGGCACTGGTGAGGCTGCACCTCAAATCCTGTGTTCAGCTCTGTGCCCCTCACTACAAGAGAGACATTGAGGGGCTGGAGTGTGTCCAGAGAAGGGCAACGGAGCTGGTGCAGGGCCTGGAGCACAAGTGTGATGGGGAAGGGCTGAGGGACTTGGGGGGTTCAGTGTGGAGAAGAGAAGGCTCAGGGGGGACCTGATCGCTGCCTACAACTGCCTGAGAGGAGGTTGTAGTGAGGTGGGGTCGGTCTCTGCTCCCAAGGAACAAGGGACAGGACAAGAGGAAACGGCCTCAAGCTGCACCAGGGCAGGTTTAGATGGAGCTGAGGAACAATTCCTTCCCCAGAGGGTGCTCAGGCATTGGAACAGGCTGCCCAGGGCAGGGCTGCAGTCACCGTCCCTGCAAGTGTTCACACAGCGTGGAGACGAGGCCTCAGTGCCATGGGTTAGTGGTGGCCTTGGCAGTGCTGGGAATGGTTGGACTGGGTGAGCTTAAAGGGCTTTTCCAACCTGGTTGAGTCTGTGATTCTATTTTCCCTTAAAGGCTGGAATTTCTTCTCTATGGCAAGAAGTCATAGAAAATGATATATTTTATGAAAGTACTTGTCCTGAGGAGTTACACTAGAAACTGCAAAGCTATTTTTATCCAGTATGCAGATACCTGAAAAGTATACACAGTAGACATAAAAAGGGAAATTAGCCATCCGTAGGTATATGTAGAAGCTTTTGTTGCATTTTTTTCTGTGTTTGCAGAGAAAGAGATTTCTGGAGCTCATGATAGGGCCGATTAACCTATAATCCAGCCTTTCATTTGCAGCCTGGATCCTCAGCAGTAGAAGAGAGGACTCAGAATGAAAGCTGCAGAAAGCTCATGAGTCGACAGCAAATAAAATCCCAAGTCACACAAAAGCTTGAAGCATCCTAAATGCAAAAGACAACCATGAGGGTTGCTGACAACCACAGGTACTCCTGGGGCTGATTTGTCACTGCAGAGACTTCTAGTGAATGGTTTTTAAGCTTTGTTTTGTTTCATAGGTATTTTTTAACCTGTTTTCTTAGGAGGGGTGGATTGAGAGACTGCTTTTCCTTCCTCCCACAGAAAGGAGAGGTGATGGAAAAGGTTGTTTCAAGCCATTTTTGAAAGAGAAGGAATTGGAGTTTGGGGTGTGTGGTTTTAGGACCAGAAGGGATGCAACCTTTCTGAAGTCAGAAAGATCTTGTTTAATTTTTCATCTTACTACATATGTCAGTTTTGTACCCAAAATTTGCAATGAACAGCACAAATATTGCATTGTTTCTACTTTGGAAAGTTTTTTGGTATCTGTGAAGGCCATTTCTCCTTTGGTATTATTGAACCAGCCACTAGTGTTGGATGGGTTAGCGTGAGGGCATTTAACTTCCTCCTCATGCAACCAGAAGGAGTCAAAGACCCAGGAATAGGTCACAGAGACCTTTTATATGTTGTCATCTAAACTGAAACCAGGATTGCATTTAAGTTGCAGGGACGATTGTTCTGGCCATTTAAATCATAGCGTGCTATATGCAGCTGACATTTCTCTGCAGTCCCACATTTGTCCTGTTCTCAAGAACAAATTTACAGCTCCCGTGCTCTTGGACATGATATAAATAAAAGGAGAGAGTGAGCTTCTAGGGAGTATTGAAGCTAATGTAGATAAGTTTGCAAAGAATCCTGCGTGGAAAAATGGTACCAAATTTAAGAGAGGTGGAGACCTCTCTACGGTGATCTCTACAATGATATTCGTAGGATTTACCTGTTTCATCCATTTCTGAGTGGTGCATCTCAGCCTTTGAATAAATGACCAGTGGACCTTTCACTTGGAGGCCAAGGCAAGAGTGTGATTTTCCAGGAGTGAAACCCCAGAACCTTCACACTTTAAAGTTTATTCTCTCAATGTGTGTGCAAGTTAAAATATTCTTTAATCAAAACTAGTTGTGGTGGCAATAAAGGCAGAAGAAGAGTTACACATCATGTAGCTTGGGCATTTAATTGCTTTCTCAGAGCTATTCTTTAATATTGAAGAAAGAACGTAAGGAGTCCTAAGAGCCCTTTTTACCAACTCATTGGTTTCTACAGTTTATTTCATTCCTTTTAGAAATTACACATATGTTGCCATTCAGTTATGCGTGCTGATGAGAATTTTCTGTGGTTTAGGGCATAACTTCCCTAAGTGAATATAGGGGAAAGCTTTCATGCCAAGAAGAACTTTTTTGATGCTGTGGCTTTGCTGAGCTGCAATGTCATGATATATTAGACACCAGTAAACCAATAAAGATTTCTTGGTACAGAGTAAAGCTTATAAAAGGAATATTAAGAAATGTTTCTTTCTGCAGCAGAATTGGGTTGATGGATACTTCAAAGATCATAGAATCACAGAATCATAGAATGGTTTGGGTTGGAAAGGACCTTAAGATCATCTAGTTCCAACCCCCTACGATGGGCAGGGACACCTCACACCAGACCAGGTTGCTCCAAGCCCCGTCCAACCTGGCCTTGAACACTGCCAGGGATGGGGCAGCCACAGCTTCTCTGGGCACCCTGTACCAGCGCCTCAGCACCCTCACAGGGAAGAACTTGTGCCTTAGATCTAACCTGAACTTCCCCTGTTTCAGTTTGAACCCATCACCCCTTGTCCTGTCGCTACAGTCCCTGATGAAGAGTCCCTCTCCAGCATCCTTGTAGCCCCCTTCAGACACTGGAAGCTGCTCTGAGGTCTCCACGCAGCTTCTCTTCTCCAGGCTGAACAGCCCCAATGTTTTCAGCCTGTCTTTGTACAGGAGGTGCTCCAGTCCCTGAGCATCCTCATGGCCTCCTCTGGACTTGCTCCAACAGCTCCATGTCCTTATGCTGAGGACACCAGAACTGCACACAGTGCTGTGAGTGGGGTCTCACACCAGCAGAGCAGAGGGGCAGGATCACCTGCTGCTCACACTTCTTTTGATGCAGCCCAGTGAGAAGGATTCATCCTGTTGAAAGTTCCGAAGTGCAGTCGGGCTGTAATCATCATCTGTATTTGCTGTTTTCTCTGCTTCCAGCATCTTGCTCTGGTAGAAAGCACCACGTTCTCTGAAACCATTGACTTCAGTCTCCCATGGCTGGTCATTTGATGAAATGAGTTTATTATGTGGGCTTCTGAGTGAGAAAACAAAAACAGCAATAAAAAGCAAGCAGATTGGCAGTTGCTATGGCAATCCCATCCTTTGCTAGGGTCTGATATAAGTCTTAGGAGCTGGGGGAAATGCTCGGAAATGGTAATTAGTTTTTTCAAGGGAATGTAATTTTCCATTGTGAGCAGAGATTACGAAGTCAGTGGTTTAAATGATACAATTGGAATCTAAATTTTCTATTATCTGTTTCTTAAGGGGTGGGGGGGGACCTTTTCTCGCCAATAAATGTATTGTTATCTGCAATTCCAATTAGGCAGTGTCCAACTTCCTTCAGATTATTGACTGTTTTCCAGTGTACCTTAGTGACAACTCATCACAATATTATCTGAGCAAACACAAGCCCAATCAAAGTGTGTTATTTGTTGCAAGAAGTCCATTAATTTCAATATAAAGCACGGTGCTAAAATAACTTGGATTTTCCGAGATCCTAAGAGGAAATCGTTGAGTGGGTTTTGGGACACAGCTTTGAGGGGTGATCTCCAGGGAAGTTCCTGAAAATGAGATAAAGTTGCAACTCTGTGGTATTTATCCATACTGTACAGTTAGTAGATAGCAAAGGACTTCCAGAATGGAAGTTTGATACCAAGCCATGTTTTTCCTGGGACAATGCACATACTACTGCTGCTAAGCTTATGGAACACCTCTGAGGATTGGGTAGACGAATGGATTAGGCAATACTACGTTTCCTATAGCCAATTACGCTGGCTACAGCACAGACATCTAAATGCTCTTATTTATATACTGCCTTCTTACTCTTGAGACTCTCCTAATATTAAGACTTACTAAGCATTTTCTAGTAATGGATCTGTTATATTTGTGAGGATGGATATTGAATAGATTTGGTGGCTATTTTGGAAGTGTCATACCCAAATGATTTTGGAAGTGTCATACCCAAATTTCTCTCTAGATACTGCAGCACAACCACAGCACACCAGTTGTATTTCATTTGCTGTCTGTTTCCAATAGGAAGTAATGTTTGTTCCCATGAAGAACAAGAGATTCCTACCCTCTGTTTTAATACCAGCACACTTAGAAGAAATAGTAAACTTTCATCATTTGGGAATAGCTGCATTCAATAACCCATATTTTCTAACACAGATGTAACACTGAGAAACATACTGCTGTGGCTGTGAAGACAAAAGAGACATGCTGGGCAAGTGTGCTGAGAAGACAATGTTTAAAACCACCCACAGACAAAAGCATGGAGTCTAGCTAAGAGCTGGCTCGCAGGATAGGCTGGAACCAAGCTACGAACTCAGCCAAAGAATCCTCTGGCTCTGTTTTCTCTTCAGGTTTTAACAGTAATGTTTAGAACCCCATTTGAAATAAACTGTCATTGCACTTTAAAGGGTATTTTTTAAAACGTATGACAGCCAAACCCAGTCAAATTCTGAGTTATGCTTCTGTTTCATGCCACAGTAGTATTCTAAAAGCAACTTCAAAGCAGAGGGATACCGTAAGTCCCTATCTTCCTAAGCCACAACACAAAGGAGAAGAAATTAATTCATTTCAAGGAGGTACACTTCAAAGGCTGAACACGATTTCTTCCTCTCTTGTTAATACCGCTGGCTTCTGGTTTACACAAAGGAGAGAAAAAGCAATATTCGTGTGTGCTTCAATTAAGAGGTACACAGGAGTATTGCACACCTGTGTAGAGAGAAGGCTCTTCATGCATGTGCATGCATTCTCCTTCTGCCTCCTTATTGTCACCAAGTATTCAAGGGACCTCAGCCCTTTAGCTAAATGATGAAAAAGGCAGTGTAAGTAACCTGCAAGTGCTGCACAGAGTCATAGTTCTGAAATTAGGGGATATTACTCTAAAATTCCCCTATGCTTGCAGCATACTTGAAGGTTTCCAGTGAGGACTAGACAGCATTCTTGGAACAACTAATACCCACTTGTATTTGTTACAGGATATTAATTCACCTCAGAGATGACCCAAAGACTTGCATAACCCATTTACACAAGGCTTTGTACCTTGGTCTGCTCTGTGGGGAATGCCCAAGCATCACTGAGGGCTACACTTGCCTAGTAAGTGACCCCAAATGTAAAAGAGCAGATGTGTTCCCTCTTGGGGACTGTGGGCTAGCAGCAACAAACGTGTTACACAGCACTTTGCAGCTCTGAGAACCCATTAGAAGATCTCACAAAGAATATTTCCCTTACTAGCCTAAACCTAGTAAGAGGCTGTGCTCTGCAGAGAAACCCAAGTTAGAGTTTTAAGACACTTGGCAAGAAGGAATTGAGGCTTCTCAATCATACGCAATCAGCTGCAGGGGTGTGTTCCTATCAGGAGCACAACTCATGCATTGTCATCTTCCTTAGTGCCCTAAAATCTGGCAAAGCAATGCTTCCATTCATTGAGCTTGACCCTGTGTGCCATGACAGGGGGATGGAAGCATTCAGAGCTGTAGCGTGCATAAGCAAAGAGGCTCAAATCCTTCTGCATCCTCTGTGATAGAAAAAGAAAGAAGAAGTAACAGTGGGGGAAGTGACAGAGACGATGGGTGGAAGAAAATGGAGTAGTGGGAGGTGTTCTGGAGCATCTAAATGTCTCGATGCAAGAGCACCAGCTCCTTGACATTATCTTTCCTGCCTTGGGTAGTGGAGGTTGCCAAAGTGAAACATGGATTTTAGCAATATCAGGAGAAACAAAGCAGGAACAGGCAGCATTTTCACACAGGCATTTACTTCCTGAGTAGTTAAGCCTTTTTAGTTCTGCAGGTTTCTCTGTGCTAATGTAATGCTGATACAGTTTGTCATACCTTTACAACGTGGTTAGGTTGGAGAGAACAGGAATTTCACAGTAAATGGAGGTACAGTGGAAGTGCCTTGTAAGGTTCACACCCCATATATCAATGTATTTAAAAACCCAAGTAATTTTGATGATATCTTACATTTTAATGTATTAGTTAAAATATGGTTCATGGTCTAAAATTAAACAGCCTAGGGTGATCAGATGGTAGAGGATAAAATATTAATCTCATCATAATTACAGAACTTAAATATAAAAGACTGAAACCTGGTAATGTTGCATTTTGAGAAATAAAGATTCTGTTGTAAATCTGGATCATGTGAGTAACTCATATATAATAATATATGTAATCATACTTTAAAACCCACTCTAGGATTTTAAAAGACTATTTCCTAGCCTTAATACATGCGTTTTATGTTGGTTTCAAGTTTTTCCTCAGTAAAACAGGCAAACTAACAGTGCCCTTTCACTGAGTGGTGGCATTTCCATATTAAAATGCACCTTGCAATGCATATTTTGATATCATGTATACAAATTTGAAATCTGGGGGGTTTACAATAGTACTGCGTAAGTAATGGAAGCAAATGCTTCCCTCCCTGCCAAACAGAGAGCGGAAAACCCTCTTGAAGTCTAGCCAAGGAAGATATGAAAAATATCCTAGAGAAGAGTAATCAGAGGCAAGGTAATATCAGTTTTCAAACAGGCAGAAGGAAGCTACAAGAAGAGATATTCTGGGTCCATCCACTTTGTTATTCTAAATGTAGTGCTCTCAGAGGACACGAAAACGCCTGTAGTTTGTACCAAGTAACAGCAATTCACCTTCATTATGTATTCCTTCACCAGTGTAGTGGACATCCCAGGTACAGCAGTTCTAAATTATGATGACACTATGGCTGGGAGCTATGATGGAAAAAACATTGTTATGAGACAACAAGAGAACCTGTTTAACTTCAAATGAAGACAGCTCCCATTCTCCCTGTGATTTACTATTAACTGCAATGACATCAAGGTTTCCTGACTCAACTTCTGAATCACAAGTTTCTGCCCTCTCTATGGCTGTAATGTTATAATAGTATTTTAGGTTGGAGAAAGGAATATAAGAAGCAAGTCCAAATAGCATTGGGCAGGTTTGTTGTAAGTTTGTCATGTGGCTGTTGGCAGAGGATCACAGACCAAAATACATGTAAGCAGAAACCTAATTCGGACTTCAAAAAATGCTTTTAAGGGAAAGGATGCAGTCAGATAAGCATAAAGACACCTAAAGGCAGCTATTGTCAAAGACTTCAGCCTTTTGCTGCCTCTTTTCAATGTCCAGAAGGGATGGGTTAAGCATCAATTCTAGTAGATAAATGAAAATGTTAAGGGGTGTTAGATGTAGATCCCTTCCCTCATTCTATCTTTCCATTGTTGCAGATAGACACTGTTCCCCTGGAGCACTCTTCTTTAATTCTGCTGCGTTTACGGTGCCTCCTTTTTTTGTCATGTGAGCAACTCCTTCAGTAATTGCAAGAGCTTCTGGGTCTGGTTTATACAGCAAATCTCATTAGACAGGTGACACATTCCTGTCTGGGAGGTCTAGAGCAGTGACTCCTTAATAATATGAATCATATTATGCTCCTCTCATTCTGCAGGATTGGTATGTCATGGTTAGAGCAGACAGCAGTGCTCCAGGTCAGCCAAGCACAAGGGAGAGACTTCTCTTTTGAAAGCATTTTGATTGTAGTATGGACAAAGAGCTTTCACAAAGGTCCAGGTCTCTGCCTAATTTTAGACATAATGAAATTTGTATGAATAAGAGGAAGGTAGAAAGAGAACACACGGGTGATAGGGACTCTTCAGGTCACCAGTTTATTGAGCTAAGGCGTGGGATAGAAGTGTGTAGGTAGATTTTCTCCATTCTTCTTTGCATTGAGTATTTTGTTAGCTATGTTTGTGCTGTTCTTGTTAACCTCAGAACAAAGATTGGATGACCAAACCTCTAGTAATATACTCGTCCTTGCTATGTTGTTTGTTACAATTTCAAAATGCATAGGAATGTTAGGTCTACTAAACACTGAATTCATTTCAGCTCTGATGAGAGTTTTGTGAGGGTGAAGGTAAACCTCTCCAGCAAAGTAAGGAAAGAATTCCTTTGAGTGAAATCAAACAATAGTTCTCAGTTTAAACACGAAATGAAACACAATTATATAGACATACTTGCAACGTAGGAAGTAGTGACCGTGCCATCCTCTCACAGGAATTCATGTAAGCAAGCAGTGCAATAATTGTGCAATAATTACAGAAAATCTTTTGGTCATACCTGCAGAAAACATGCATTACATGGATATATATTTTTAATTTGCTCTTTTCTTAGGGCAAGTTAAGGTTATTTGTGCATCTAAAATCAAGGTTTGGGGCATTTCAAGCTCCTCTCAGCCACAGGTGAGAACGCTTCTAGTCTTCTGATAAGAAAGAAATACCTTTTCCAGCCTTGAAGAAGGAAATGTTTCATAAGAACCAATGTAGGAGCACCTCCCATATGAAGACAGGCTGAGGAAGTTGGGGCTGTTCAGCCTGGAGAAGAGAAGGCTGCGTGGAGACCTCATAGCAGCCTTCCAGTATCTGAAGGGGGCCTATAGGGATGCTGGGGAGGGACTCTTCATTAGGGACTGTAGTGATAGGACAAGGGGTAACGGGTTAAAACTTAAACAGGGGAAGTTTAGATTGGATATAAGGAGGAAATTCTTTCCTGTTAGGGTGGTGAGGCACTGGAATGGGTTGCCCAGGGAGGTTGTGAATGCTCCATCCCTGGCAGTGTTCAAGACGAGGTTGGACGAGGCCTTGGGTGATATGGTTTATTGTGAGGTGTCCCTGCCCATGGCAAGGGGGTTGGAACTGGATGATCTTAAGGTCCTTTGCAACCCTAATTATTCTATGATTCTATGACATATCCCATTTTGAAACATATATGTTATATCCAATTTTGAACCTTTATAAGAGCTAAAACATGTCAGTTTCAATTGGCAATAAGTATTCTGGTTCTGCTTATCTGCAGTGTTACACATGCATTTAAATAAACCTGGAGAAAGAAATATATGTACATTGCCTTTTGTAAAAGTAGTGTACAGAACTTGCTTTCTAATTTGGGGAGGAGGAGAAGGCTTCATTTTTGTTGTTTTTTTTTAGTATTTGATATTTGCCGTCGATGAGATTGTCATAACATGTAGTCAAACTTGATGCTCTTTCTTTTAGTCTTGTCAACAAAGCAGATGGCATTCTACTCTTCATTGTTTCTCTAGTTTTCTGTTCCAAATGCTGTAAATTCGGTTAAATTGACCATCTTCCTTGTATCAAGACTGATCTTTTTAGTAATGAGGTATTTGAAAAGCCTCCAGCAACTTTGACTCTATTCTCCTTTTCCTCCTGGTATAAATCAGCACAGATTAAATAATAGAAACCTACCCTTGTGTCACAGCTAGCACTAAAGGTCCTAAGCTGTGTTTTTCTGGTGGTGTGAAGAACAGGAGAGTTTAAGGAACCCTTTCCTACCAATAG